GAATTCTCTATTGTGTAAGTCACTTATATTCATTTCCTTAAGATCAGTTTTTGGAGATCTATCTTGCTCTTTTGTTTGGAACATATTCCCTTATTGCTTCATTTTCTATGACTCTGTGTTGGTTTGTTCACATTAGATAAAACAGCCACCTCTTGGAAATAGACTCAAGATATTATGCTCAATTAATATTTGACAAAGGTGGCAAGAGCATACAATGGAGTAAAGACAGCCTCTTTAATAAATGGTGTTGGGGAAATTGGACAGCTACATACAAAAAAATGAAACTAGACCACCAACTTACACCATACACAAGAATAAACTCAAAATGCATAAAAGATTAAAATGTGGATTGTGAATCCATAAAAATCCTAGAAGAAAATGTAGGCAACAAAATTTCAGACATCACACACAGCAAAATTTTCACTGATACAATGCCTAAGGCAAGGGAAACAAAGAAAAAAATTAATACATGGGACTACTTCAAACTAAAAAGCTTCTGCACAGCAAAAGAAACAACCATCAAAATGGAAAAGGAACCCACTATATGGGAGAGCATAAATGCCAATGATACATCAGATAAGGGGTTAATTTCCAAAATATATAGAGCACTCATACAACTCAACAAAAGACAAAGAACCCAATTAAAAAATAGGCAGGGGACCTAAATAGACACCTCTCCAAATAGGACATAGAAATGGCCAAGAGACACAGGAAAAAATGCTCAACATCACTAATCATCAAAGAGATGCAAATTAAAATGACTATGAGGTATCACTTCACACCTGCTAAATGACTTCCATCAACAAATCATCAAACAACAAGTGCTGGAGGGTGTGGAGAAAAGGGGACTCTAGTACACTGCTGGTAGGAATGCAGACTGGTGCAGCTACCATGGAAATCAATATGGTGTTTCCTCAAAAAATTAAAACTGCAATTTGACTCCGTGATTATTAGGATATATTCTAGGAATATATCATAAGAAGCCTAAAACACCATCAGAAAGAATATATGTACCCCTATGTTCACAGCAGCACTATTTACAATAGCTAAGATCTGGAAACAGCCCAAGTGTCCATCAATTGATGAGTGGATACTAAAGCTGTGGTACATATACACAATGAAACGCTATGCAGCTGTAAGAAAGAAAGATCTCTTATCCTTTGAGATGACATGGAGGGACCCTGAGAGCATTATGCTAAGCAAAATAAGCCAATCATAGAAAGACAAATACCAAATGGTCTCACTTATTTGTGGAATATAATGAACAAAAAAGCTGATGAACAAAATAGACTCAAAGACATAAAAAGGAGTATGGTTCAGACTGACAAACTTCAGAGGAGGGGGGTGTGGGGAGGGATGAGATAAACCAAAGAACATATATGCATGTATGCATAACCAATGGACATAGACAACAATGCTTGTGGGGGAGGAAGGATAGGGAGTAGGGTGTTTGGGGGGGGGGGGAGAAACATCTGTAATAAAAATAAATAAATAGAGAAACAAATTTTTTTAAAAAACCAGCCACCTCTTCTAGTCTTGACAGCAGTCTTGTGTGAGAAATAAAGCTCATTAATTAGCCCAGCCTGAGCTCCTGATTGGCTCTCAAACTACTGTGATTATTTAAGATGCTGTCTTTGTTAGTGGGTCTCAGTAGTTGAGGGTGTGCCAAGTCCTGCCTGTGTCTAAAAGGAGAGGGTCACTGTCAGCATGTAGATGCAGACTGATTCTGGACTGTCAGGCAGCAGCTGATAAAGTATGTAGTCAAACTGCTTCCAAGGAGAAACTGGGAGACAGGAATTTTTGTCTGTTCCCTCTGTGTGGAACCCAGCGGTACAGCCATGAGGACACTTAAAAACTGTTTGTTTTCTCTAGTCTTGTGGGACTCATGACTGCAAGTACCATTGGCTATCACAGATAGATAATGGAGGCCTATTCCTCAGGTGGCAGCTGTAAAAACTGGCTTGCCAGATGTGCGGACAAGCTCCTTCCCGGAAGACACTGGCAAGTTGGCATTATTGTTGGAGCAAGAAGGCAGCAGAAGTGCCCAGCAGCTATTTCAAGCTAACAGAAGATCATAGTCAGCACCTAGATGTGTGGTAATTAGAGACCAGACCCTCAGCTAGCAGATCATAAGGTACAGTCTTATCTCTTCCAGAGAAAGATTGGAAGATGGCCATTTTCACCTACTCCCTCTGCATGAACCTTGGGGGCCAGACATAGCAAGTACCTGCATGCACATTACCAACTGCTTCTTTGTTTGCTATAATCCTGTGAGACTAATGAAGACAAGCCCCATGGCTATCAGAGCTAGGTGATTTGGGGCAAGACCTTCAGATGGCAGCTGTAAAAGTTGAAGAACTAGTGTGTGAGCACAAAGGAGATGCTGGCGACTTAGTTTTACTGTTAGAGTGGGCCAGAGGAAGAAGGTGCCCACCGGCTCCTTCAGGCTTGAGAGGAGGATCACAGCCAGTAACTAGATGTGTGCTAATTAGAAGCTGGACTCATAGGCAGCAGCTTGTAAAGTATGCAGTCAACCTTCTTCCAGGGAAAGAATGGGAGAAGGATGTTTTTGCATTTTCCCTCTGCACTGAGCCCTGGGGGGACAGAGGTAAGTGCTTGTGCTCCCACTGAGAGTCCCAGTGGTGATGGCCAGAGGGAAGAGGGGTAGGGGCGGGGGCTGGGTGGAGATGGACAAAATGGGGGAAGGAGGAGTGAGGACATCTGTAACAGTGTCAACAATAAAAATACAGTAAATAAGTAAATAAATATAAAATGGTGAAAGGAAGAAAAGAACTGCTTCTTTGTTTACTACAGCCCTGCATAACTTATGAACACAAGCCCCATGGCTTTTAGAGCCAGGTGTTTAGTGCCCCAACTTGGAGGTAGGAGTCCTCCAAGTTGGGGCACTAAATGCATGGTCCAAACCTTTCCCTCAGGGAATACCTGGGAGTTGGGGGTTCCCTCCTAATTGTCTGGTTTTGTGCTAGGGTGAGATTTATGGCACATCTAGCAAGTCAGCTTTTACAGCTGCCACCTGAGGAATAGGCCTTTCTTACTTACTTCAAAATGGGTATTTTCTCATTTGCCCAGTGTGTAGAAGTCACTTGGCTGCTTTCTAGATTTCTCTAAGAAGGAATTATCATGTGTAACTGTACATTCAGTGTATCTGTGGAGGAGGAAAATTCAGGAGCCTAATACAACACCATCTTGTCCCAGTCCATACTAAGAATTCTGGTATTTGCCTTCGTTCTTTTCAGTTGAGAAATTTATTTTAGTTTGGTTTATTAAAGTTGATAATATTTCACCATTTGTTATAGACTAATATTTACATTATTATCCATTTAACCCAGGATTTCTTGCTCTGAAACACTGCCAATATTGTAATAGTAATAATACACAAATATGCATTTTTTTTGTAAATAAAACATAGCTAAACATTTTTCTATAGGGAAAATAAGTTAATGTCAATTACTCACTCAAAAAGAAAACTTATAAAAACCACAATAAATTATCACCACATATCTATTATAACTAAAATAAAAAAAATAATGATAATAGTTAATGCTATTGAAGCTGCAGAGAAATTGTATTGCAAATATAACTAGTAAGAATCTCTGAAAAATAGCCTAGCAGTTTCCAGCAAAACTAACATGCACTCACTAACTATGTAATCCAGCAATTGTGCTCTTGGGCATTTATCCCAAAGAAATGAAACCCTATGTTCACAAAAAAAACCTGTACACGAATAATCATAGAAGCTTCATTCTTAATAGCAAGATACTAAAAACAACCCAAATGTCCTTCAGTTGAAAGGATGAACAAATTCTGGTACACCTATACAAGAGAAAACTACTCAGCCATAAAAAGATATGCAACATCCACGTTGACCTCGAGAGCATTAAGTTTAGTGAAAAAAAAAGTCAATCTCTTCTTTCTCCTCTATATGACAAATATATTTAAATAGTAATTCATCAATTATCTCCACAAGGTCTATCTCAATCCTATATACATTTTTGTTAGTGTGAACTGTCTCTCAAGGTGCTGATAAGAATGAATCTCTAGACCTTCCCCTAAAAGGGATGAGAAAGGAGGCACCCAATTCAGAAAACTTTTCCTTAGCATACAACATCATTACTAACATTTCCTAAATTTGATTACATTTGATTCCTTAAAATGGTTTCCACATTTTAGTATATATTCTTTTCACTATTTGTCAATTCGCAACCTAGATTTTCTGATGTACCTAACCACATCTTTCATTTTGCTATAAAAGCCACTTGGAATATAAAATTTACTTAATTTTTACTTATATCATATTTTGAAGGATTGCTATTTCATTTATTAATAGATTTCCTTTAATATCATGATATTAAAAACTAAAATGATAGGAATACTTAATATGTCCCATCCTTATCCTTCAGAAGTAGGTTTCCAAGTACTTAAACCATGCCACCAACCATGGCCCCCCGCTTTTCACACAGCTGTTTTACCCTTAATCAACTCAATAGATAACCGTCTTACAGAGCAGTAAATTCTATTCCATTTCCTTAAGATTTACTAGATGCCTATCTAGGAGGCAAACAATAGCAGCTCTGCTCTTCAACTTTTCCCTCACTCACCATTCTCACACACAACACTTATACACATAAAACTTGTTTTCTGAATTTGACTAAAGCACCTAATAATTGAAACCAGTAGTAGGAAATCATAGAAACTGCATAACCAATACCTACTTAATCAAAAAATGAATTTCAAAATTCCACTAAAATGAAAGGATAGTTGTAGAGATCAGGTAATGAAATAGATAGTAGGACAGAAACAGTAACAGGAGAGGTAGAGAGTAGCAGACAGCAGATTCATGAAAAAAAAAGTAGTGAGCAGAAGATATAAATGTATCATTGTCACATACTGAATTTTCTCCTCAAAACTTAGAAAAGAAATGCAAAACATGAAAACATAAAAATTGATAAGCACAATGACAGTAACATGATTGTTCATACTTGTATGGTGATGGCCAAGTACTGGGATCTTGAAGTACCACACCAAGAGCATAAAGAACGAGAGTCTGCCAAAAAAAAAAAAAAAAATTACTTTATAGCCAAGGCCTAACAAAGACAAAACAACTCCCAGAAAGACACTTATCCTAAATTTTCTTTTAATACATGTAATGAATAAAAAATAATAACATAAGATAATAGAATAAAACAGAGGCCATTATTTTGGTAATCTTACAGTAGGGAAGGCATCCCTAAGCACATCACAAAAGCCATAAAGTAATGACAGACTTAACTATATAAAAAATTTAAAAACTGCATCCAGTCAAAATAAAACATACCATAAGCACCAGTAAGAATAAATAATAGAAAGAAAAAATATTTGCCACATAACTGTCAATATGTATAATATACAAAAAGACATATATGTTCACTAGAAAAAATAGTGAGTTAAAAGCAGATAATTCAAAAAAGAAGAAATAAAAACTTTTTGTATTTGAAAAGCTGCTCAATCTCTCCAATGATTAGGGAAAAACAAATTAAAATCATGAGATAATTTTTCATATAAAATTCACAAAATATGTATGATTCATAAGTCCATAGGTGGTGAGGATATGGCGAGAAAAAACTTCCTCATACATTATTGCTAAAAATATAAATGGCCTTTTAGATAGCAATTTAAATTTGACATACATATGTACTTTGACCCAAAAACTCCATTTCAATGACTCTATCCAATACCTGTACAAGTATATAATTTGTAATAAAAAATATCAATCTAATTTCCATCTATGAGAACTGCTTAAATAAATTATGGCACATGGAATACTATGCATCCATTAAAAATAATGAATTGGATCTGTATCAAGTGCTAGTTACACTAGTAGCCATGAAACCTTCAATAGAAGAAGAAAATTAAAGAGCAATATATAGAGTAACCTTTCACATATAAATTCAGTTTTAAAATACGTACACATATATGTGTATATATACACAGAAAAAAGATCTTAAAAAATACACACTAAAGAGAAGGAACTCATGGACACAGACAACAGTGTGGTGATTGTGGGGATGAGTGGGGTATGGAGGAGGTTATAGGGGGGATAAATGGTGATGGAAAACTTTAAATAAAAAAAATACACACTAAGGACTTCCGGTCAAGATGGCGGCGTAGGGAAACGCAGTATCGCGACCTTCCACAACCACATCCAAGTTACAACAAAACTACAGAACAACCATCATCCAAAACCGCCTGAAATCAAGCTGAATGGAAGTCCTACAACTACGGAATTAAAAAAAAAAAAAGCAGCTACATCCAGACTGGTAGGAGGGGCGGCGGCGCGAGGGGTGGCGGCAGCGGCGCGGCGGCGCGACGGGCTGGTCCCACACCCAAGTGTCGCGGATAAAAATCAGGAGGCTCCCGCGGCTGGGAAGGTCCTTCCTGAGGACTGAGGGGTCCCGGTCCCACACCAGGTGCCCCGCTCAGGTTTCCAGTGCCAGGAAGAGAAGTCCCCATAACTTCTGGCTGGAAAAACCAGCAGAAACTGAGGCTCAGGGAAGCTGAGGCAGCTGGAGCCCCAGGCAGCTCCCTAAAGGGCCTGCGCACGGACTTATCGGACTCTCTCCCTCTAAGCTCGGAGGGGAGGCAGCTCGAGGGGCGCCAGAGACATACAGGGAAGAACTGAGCTGTTTGGCACTGGAGCGAGGGCTGGAGAGGGGGCTTCCTCGGGGACAAACGTGCTGTAAGAGGCCTTTGTTCCTTTGGTGAGCCCTTCCCTGGGGCGGCAGACAGTCGCCATATCTGGGACTCCAGCAACCTGGTTCACACTGGTAGCCCCGCCCTGCTGACTCCCTGAGGCCCCGCCCTGCCCCGCCCCACACAACTTTCAAGCCCACCCAAGCTGTTGCTACTTGCTTAACCATAGGATTGGCCTGTCTTGGATCCTGCTTCAGGTTTTTCCTAAATTCTTTCAAACGAGCAGCATCGGGTCTCAGCGAGCCCCATACCTCTCATTAAGTAATACACAGAAACAAACACAGGGAGGCAGCCAAAATGAGGAGACAAAGAAACAGGTCCCAAATGAAAGAACAGAACAAAACCCCAAGAAAAGAACTAAGCAAAATGGAGATAAGCAACCTAACAGATGCTGAGTTCAAAATACTGCTTATAAGGATGCTCAATGAACTCAGTGAGGGCCTCAAGAGCATAAAAAAGTACCAGTCAGAAATGATCGCTGCACAGTTAGAAACGAAGGAGGCTTTAACTGAAATAAAGAATAATGTACATAGCTTCAATAATAGAGTACGTAAATCCAAGGAGCAAACCATCGATTTGGAATATAAGGAAGCAAAAAACGCCCAACCAGAACAGCAAAAAGAAAAAAGAATCCAAAAAAATGAGGATAGCGTAAGGAGCCTCTGGGACAACTTCAAGCGTGCCAACATTCGCATCTTGGGGGTGCCGGAAGGAGAAGAGAGAGAACAAGAAATCGAAAACCTGTTTGAAACAATAATGGCAGAAAACTTTCCTAACTTGGTGAAGGAAACAGACATACAAGTCCAGGAAGCACAGAGAGGCCCAAACAAGATGAACCCCAAGAGGCCCACACCAAGACACATCATCATCAAAATGCAAAAGGTTCAAGACAAAGAGAGAATCCTAAAAGCAGCAAGAGAAAGGCAGCTAGTTACCTACAAGGGAGTTCCCATTAGGCTGTCAGCTGATTTCTCAAAAGAAACTTTGCAGGCCAGAAGGGAGTGGCAAGAAATATTCAGAGTGATGAAAACCAAGAACCTACAACCAAAATTACTCTATCCTGCAAAGCTGTCATTTAGAATCGATGGACATATAAAAACTTTCCCAGACAAGAAAAAGTTAAAGGAGTTCATCACTATCAAACCGTTATTATATGAAATGATGAAGGGTCTTTTTAAAGAAAAAGATAAAATGTATGAACAAACAAAATGGCAATGAATACATATCTATCAACAATGGAATCTACAAACAAAATGAACAGGAAGAACAGGAACATTCTCATAGATACAGAGAACATTTAGTTGGTTGCCAGTTGGGAAAGGGGTTGGGGGAATGGATGAAAAAGGTGAAGGGATTAAGAAGCACAAATTCATTGCTAGACTGACAAACCTCAAAGGGAAAGGGGTTGGGGGGGTGGGAAGAAATAAACCAAAGAACTTATATGCATAACCAATGGACACGGACAATAGTATGGGAAAAGGTGGGAGGGGGGCAGGAGTGGGGAGGAGGGGGTCAATGGGGGAAAAATGTGGAACATCTGTAATATATTTTACATCCAACAATAAAGATGTGGAAAAAAAAAAAATACACACTAAACTATTAACAGTAGCACCCATGGGGAAGAGAGTGTCTCTTTTATATTGTTTGAACTTTAGAACAAGCATATATTATTTTGTCATCTAAAATGATTATCTTTGATTTAATAATGGGTAGCATTTACTGGATAGTTTAAACAATAAAATTTAAAAACACAGACTAAAAGAGTTGAAAGAATAATTGAATGAGTTAGGTATATAAAATGTTTCCTACCTCTCTAGGAATAATGAATTTGTCAATCTTTCCTTCAATATCCTGAAGCCGGGCAGAAACTGGGGTCAGTTTGGCAGTCCGAACAGTTTCACACAGCACCTGCCGACAATATCTGTTTAAAAAAATTTTTTTTTAAATATCTTTACTTTGGGAGAGGCAATTTGAAATGTAAAAACATTTCAAAATGTCATTCAACAACTTTCATAGCCTTCCTAATTTGAAAGTCACCCGATAATTCTTTTTGCTTGAAGATACATTATATATTAGAAGTATATAAAGTTCAGGTGGGTAAAGATTTAAACAAACAAAAACATCTTTAGAAGTACCAAAGAAAACTCAAAATAATATTTTTTATAAATTTTGAGTAGAAAAATCCATTATTTTTAATAAAAGATTTAATAAAAATGTTAACAAAGAACACGTCTAATAAAAAATTATATAAATATTGACACAATGACAAAAACCATAAAGAAAAACACAAATAATCTGATTATGGAATTTTTTATATATTTGCAATCATCATACATAAAATTAAGAGACAAACTAGGGCCCAGGTGGTGTAGCTCAGTGGTTGAGCATGGACCCATGTATCAAGAGGTCACCGGTTAGATTCCCAGTCAGGGCACATGCCCAGGTTGTGGACCCAATCCCCAGTGGGGGGTGTGTGTGTGTGCAAGAGGCGGCCAATCAATGTTCTCTCTCATCGATGTTTCTATCTCTCTCTCCCTCTTCCTTCCTCTCTCTCTAAAAATCAATAAATAAAATATTTTTAAAAAAGACAACTAGGAAAAATACAGTAAATATATTTTAAATATATCAAAACTCTTTAAAAATTCATAGTTAAAATCATCAAACACCCCAATATTATACAGACAGAGAATATAGAAAAGCAATTAACAAAATAAATACAAATCACCTGAAAATATATGAAATGATACTCAACCTCATTAACAATGGAAAGACTGGCAACCAAAGCATTTTTTTTAACTTGACAGATTAGCAAAAATAAAAAAGAATGACAATAGACACTAACAGAAATGAGGAAAAAGACATTGATAGTCAATCGGTGGAAGTAATTTGGTAATATACAGTATATAAGAATATTAAGTGTGCATCACAATGAGAATAAAACTAAAATGTACTGAAATCTTGTCACGCACCAGTTCTGTCTAATAGTTTCTATGTAGTATCTCTTTTACTCCTATAAGAACCTCATGGATCCTGTTATTATTTTAATTTTACAGATTTTTAAAAATGAGGCACTATACTATTGCATATATCCTTAAGTACTAATCTCATTATTATTTATTAATAGAACAATTAGAAATATTAGCAAAGATGTAAGCAGAGGAATGCCGATTGTTTATAATATCTAAAAACAACAAGAACAAAAAAAGAAACATCCTTCCTTTCCTCTTTGAACAAATATTTATTGGGTACATACTACATTACAAGCACTGTGTTAGATACACAGCTACAGCAGTGAACAAGACACACAACTCGCAAAGGAACTCAGTCTAGTTGACAGGAAGGGGGAAAAGTAGGGACATCAAGCATGAACAATTACAAAATCACAGTAACTGTTATGATAAAGAAAGTTCAAGGAACTAGCAGGAAACCCATGGCAGGAGTACTTAACTAGAGAGAGAACTATGCAGAAAAATAAACACTTAGGCTGAGACCTGCAGAAGAAAAATGGGAGTTGGCTAGAGAGAGGAAGAGAGAATCTAAACAAAGAAACAGTCTGCAAGAGTCAGAAGATATGAAAGAGTGTTGTACCTTTGAAGAAACAAATGAATTTCAGTATAGCTGATTCCAAGGATATGAACAAGCACAAGTAGTAAGAGATAAGGTAGAACAGGAATGCAAAGCTAAGCTGTTCAAATGCCTCATAAGGTATGTTAGTAAGTTTAAATTTTATCTTAACAGCAACCAGAATTTATTTTATTTTTTTTTATCCTCACCCGAGGATATTTTTCCTTTTTTTTTTGTACAGAGAGAGTGGGAGGGAGAGAGAGGAAGGGAGAGAGAGAGAAACATCGACGTGAAGGGACACATCGAGTGGCTGCCACCCGCACAACCAACCAGGGCCGGGGACAAACTGCAACCGAAGTACGCGCCCCTAGCGGGAACTGAACCTGGGTCTCTCCAGACCGCAGGCCAATGCTCTAACCGCTGAGCCAAACTGGCCAGGGCCAGCAACCAGAATTTAAACTGGGGAGTTATCTAATCAGATGTGACTCCCCAGATAGATAAAGATCATTAGCACAACAGCTCTCAACTTTGCCTACAAATTAGAATCAACTGAGAAGCTTTGAAAGCCTCTGATGACAGAGATTGCTGGTTTGGGATTGGTCCCGGCTTATCTATATTTTTAGAGCACCGGAAGTGATTACAGTGTGCAGTCACAGGCTCCAGTAGCAATTTGAAAAATAGAATGGAGGGGAGCAAGTTCCAAGACTGTTGAAATGTCCCTGACAAGTTGATGATGGTCTGGATAAAATGGGCACGATGGAAATAATTAAAACTAAGCTTCCAACTAAAGTTGTTTAGAAAGCAGAATTATTAACAGAATTCGATCACTGATTGTTTACATATAAGAATACTGTCCACAGAGAAAAAATGAAATTTATAGAAGTCATATGTTATGTATTTTTTAACATTTTCAATTTTTTTGGTTTTAAATACATATGTATACATGCACAGAAAAATCTGGAAAAATAGTGAAATAGTTAACAATTTTTATCCCTAAAGGTACATTTACAAAAAATGTACCTCCTAAACTTTCTACTTTATACATTTTTGTATTATAAAAATTTCAAAAGACAACTATGTATTACTCTTAAAATTAAAGATAGTTATATTCAATGTAATAAAGAAAACGTCCAACATTTTGAAGACTCTGTAACAGAAGCCTCCCTGTGAAGTCCGTGGCTTTCCCAATGGCTATATCCCCATCTTCATTTCTATGATCGAAAGATGCTCCAAGATAGGGTTGTTTGTTATCCAGTTTCAGACTACCAATCCCCTAAGCAGTCACAACTGCTATTTTAAAGAAATGTTTTAAATTATTACTTACATATAAAGGATTCGTCTATTTTCAAAATATTTTTTATTTTTCAATTACAGTTGACATATGATATTGTACTAGTGTCTGATTTAACTCATGTAGAATCTAAAAAAATACTTCATTTATTTTAGCTGTATAATTTGATGAATTTTAGTAATTGTATACAATTGTGTAACCACAACTACAAGCAAGACACAGAACAAGAACAGTTCCCTCACCCTAAAACCTTTACTCACACCCCTTTGTAGTTGATCTCCTCCATATTCCTGGCCCCAGACAAGCACTGATCTGCTTTCTGTCACACTCATTTTGCCTTTTCTATAATTTCATCTATATGAAATCATATTGTAGACAATCTTTGTATTTTACTTCTTTCACTTAGTATAATGAGATTTTCCATGTTGTGTATAAAATTTAAAATGTAACATTAAATGTATTGTTACATTTAATATTTAAAAATATTATTTTCTTTACATCAGATTTGCCTTAAGAAAAGTAATTCTATGTTATATTCTACTACATTATAAGTAGATTTAATTAGGAAGTTTCATTGCATGGTCTTTTACCTGTAAATATAAAAATAAAGACAACAATGTAACATTCTTATTTTTCTCAAGGAAACGCCTATGTTTTCAGCAGTTAGAGAAGGAAGAGGATAAACTTCTCTGTGCCTCCCTGGTGTTTCTCAAGCTCTAGCAGAGACATTTTCTGTAATTGGTTTTCCATACTTGCCAAAAGTCTGCTTTCTCTTAACACTCAACATGTTTAACAGAAGTCTTGTAATAGTTCCCAAAATAATAAAACTGGTCCCAAGCGTAAAAATGATACACACACAACACATTGGTTTTCATTGTGGCTTTGGTTTTGTTAAATTATTTTAAATAATTTTTAGTGTCAAATCATGTGGTAGGAAAAAAAAGTTTTTCGCCCTGGCTGGTTTGGCTCAGCGGTTAGAGCATCGGCCTGCGGTCCAGAGAGACCCAGGTTCGGTTCCCGCTAAGGGCACGTACCTTGGTTGCAGTTTGTCCCCGGCCCTGGTTGGTCGTGCGGGTGGCAGCCACTCGATGTGTCCCTTTCACGTCAATGTGTCTCTCCCTCTCTCCCCCTCCCATTCTATCTGAACAAAAAATAGAAAAAATGTCCTCGGGTGAGGATTAAAAAAAAAAGAAATAAAAAGTTTTTCTTCACAGCAATAAAACTCACTGAAGAAATGCAGTTCAATGACTTGTGCAGAGGATGAGAATTATTTGCACAGAGGCCAGCCCAGGCCAATATGGTCCTCTCAATGTACAAGACTTCCTATTAGTGATAAGTGGAAGGTTTGGTTAACTTCAATTCAGTATCCTCAGGTCAACAGCTTATACAAGGTAGTATATGCTTCCGACATAGTATCTATATGGTTGTTCTTAATCTGATGAAATCCATTTCTCACATTGTCAAACATTAACATGAAAGGCAATGCTAGTTTATACTTTATCTGACCTTCCTATCACCCCTAAGACAGTGGTTACAGTGTCCCATCAATCAATATCTCTGCTTTAATAATTAGATGTTTGACCAATGAAAACATTTAGACTTCCTTTTTGTTTTTATCCTCACCGGAGGACATTTTTCCATTTTTTGTTCAGGTAGAGTGGGAGGGAGAGAGAGGAACAGAGAGAGAGAGAAACATCGATGTGAAAGGAACACATCGAGTGGCTGCCACCCGCACAACCGACCAGGGCCGGGGACAAACTGCAACCGAGGTACGCGCCCTTAGCGGGAACCGAACCTGGGTCTCTCAGGACCGCAGGCCGACGCTCTAACCACTGAGCCAAACCAGCCAGGGCTAGACTTCCTTTTAAATTACTGTTACTTTTTATTACTTGGTAATATTCCATGGTACAAATATAATACAATTTGTTTATTCATCAGATGATGAACATTTGGACTGCTCTCAGTTTCTTTGCTATTATAAATAATACTGCTACGAACATTTGCATACAGGTTTGTATGGACATTTGTTTTTATTTCTCTTGGGTTAATGCCTAGGAATAGAATTGCTGGGTCATATGGTAAGTGTATGTTTAAATTTATAAGATCTTGCCACACAGTTTTCCTATAGGACTGTTCCATTTTCCATTCCTACAAATAGGTATGAATGTTCCACTTACTTGACATCACTGATACTATTTTATACAGGCTAATAATGTAAAGCTTTCCCGAACTACCATATGGTTTTAGACAGTAAATTAAATTATCTATTAAAATCTTAAGTCCTATAAAGATACATAGCTTTCCTAGATATTAGCATTAACTTTAAATTAGACAGTCAAACCAGTTCAAATTTACCTTTTAATGATCTCCTCTTCCTTTTATTGTGTTCTTACCTGAGCTGCTCAATTTTCTCTGGAGTAATAGGACCCTTCCCAAAAACTTGGTCTATCTCTTCATATAGCTTTTTCTGCACTTCTTCAGAGGTGGTTAAAAAACAGATTGCCCAGGTGCACACTAAGTGAAAATTTATATTAATAACATTGAAAAGAGCTAACTCATAGTTTGGATGTGGAATAAGAAAAAAATTAAGTATTTTTTTGTATTTTCATTTTTTTTTTCCTAATACAAAAGATAAATAAATGCTATCAAAAAAAAAAGAAAGAAAAAAGAAAGTAAAACAAGGTTGTTCACAGGATTTATACTTCATTGAACAAAGCATAAATATTCACAGAATACTCCTCAAAAGAGATAGTGCAAGCTGGAAGATTTCTTTCCTTAACTGGCAAGTAATTGAAGCCATTTTTTGAAAAACTTTTTTTATTGTATTTTTTCCATCACCATTTACCCCCTCTATGACCTTTTTCACCGCACCCCTGTAATCACCATACTGTTGTTCATGTTCATGATTATACCTGAGGTAATAATAATAAACAGATTTCACATCTGGAAGAATGTTAAACATTGATAACTTTGATGGACTGTCTGGTTCACTCAACCTTGTAAAATAAAAAACTGATTTATCAGTTCACTCAGGAGCCCTAATGAAATGACTCATACAAACCAAAGTAGCAGGAAATTTACCTACAAATCAATATTCTAAATTTTTTCTTACAATGGTTAAGATTCACAGGCTCAAGAACTGGGACTGGTTATTGCTTAGGAAAGTGGCTCTCAAAAACCACCTGGGAGTTGGTTGATGGCACAACCTCACATCCACAGATTCTGATTTAGTAGATTTAGTAGAATCCAACCAAGCATCTGTACTTCTAACAAATACCACAATTATTTTGATGAACTCCAAAATTGGAAAATTGCTAGCTTATAGCTTACTTTTGGCTAAAATGGCTTATGGATCATATTCACTGTTGAAATAAAAAGGTAAGAAAATTACATGATGAACATAAAACAGAAAAATAGAGTCATGATCTTTCCTTTAGGAATGCACTGGGATTAGAACTATTCAAAGAATTAAACCATCCAGATATATAGTACCTCTTTCCCTAAATTATGCTAGGCTCAGCTCTACTTTTCCTACTTTTTAAAATACATTTACTAATTTCTACCTCTACTTATTATCTCTTTCCTGGGCTAACAAGGGCTGCCATAAGTTTGTCTCAAAGTTAAATTTTTTTAATGTTTGCCTAACTCACATATTATCGAATTCCTTTGCCTAGAAAATACACAATTCACTTTCTGAAGCAAATATTAATAAAATCAATAGCTACCTGGTCCTCAATTATTTTGATAATTTACTCACATCTAGAGTTCAAAAAAAGGAACATGATGAGAATAACTGCCTGTCCTTTTATTTTTTTTTTTTATTTTTTTTATTTTATCCTCACCCGAGTACATTTTTCCATTTTTTGTTCAGATAGAGTGGGAGGGAGGGAGAGAGAGAGAGAGAGAGAGAGAGAAAGAGAGAGAGAGAGAGAATCGATGTAAAAGGGACACATCGAGTGGCTGCCACCCGCACAATCCAACCAGAGCCGGGGACAAACTGCAACCGAGGTACCTGCCCTTAGCGGGAACCGAACCCTGGTCTCTCTGGACCACAGGCCAACGCTCTAACCGCTGAGACAAACTGGCCAGGGAATAACTGCCGGTCCTTAACTTTTTCCTACATGTGCTTCTTTATTATGGCTTTTGAGTGAACTACAGAATTTCTGTGTCACAAAATAAAAGAACAAGCAGAACACAAAAAATTCATTGATACAGAGAACATTTTGACAGTTGCCAGATGGGAGAGGGACTAGGGGTATGGGTGAAAAGGGTGAAGAAATTAAGAAGTACAAATTGGTGTTACATAATAGTCATGGGGATGTAAAGTACAGCATAGGGAATACAGTCAATAATATTCTAATAACTCTATATGGTATCAGATGGGTGCAAAATTTACTGGAATGATCACTAAGTTACATAATGTCTAATCACTGGGGTATACACCTGAAACTAATATAATAATGTCAACCATAACTGAAAGATAAAGATGATTTAAAAGTGGAAATAAAAACAAGTGACATGAAAACTAGTGCAGATAGTGTACAATATGTATATGCAATTTTACAAACTTGTATAGTAAAATAAAATAATGAAAGATTTATCACAAAGATTTTAATACAGTAGGCACTTGTACACCCTGCCTGACTAAATGATCGATTAAAATTAATAAAACTGTTTATTAAATCTGTAAATCTCAAACATTTATTCTTTTGTAGAACTCAGTTAAAAATAAAGTATAGCCTGGCTGATGTGGCTCAGTGGTTGAGCGTCAACCCATGCACCAAGAGGTCGCTGGTTCAGTTCCTGGTCAGGGCACATAGCCAGGTTGTGGGCCCAATCCCAATGTAGGAGGCAGCCAATCAATGTTCTCTCTCACCAATTTTCTTTCTCTCTCTCTCTCCCTCTCCCTTAAAAAAAATCAATAAAGAAAAAAGTAAATAAATAAAGTATGACTGGGGATAGCTTAAAAGTGTGAATTTAGCTCTGGGCAGTTTGGCTCAGCGGTTGGAGTGTTGGACTGTGGACCAGAGAGTCCCTGGTTTGTTTCCCGCTAGGGGCATGTACCAAAAAAAAAAAAACTTCAGAGGTGACTTAAATAGTAATCAACCCACATGCAAAGAAATAATACTATTAAAATTTCCCCTAAAAACAGCAAATAAGATTAAAATATTAACCCAACTTTGGAAATGGTCACTTATTGTAGTATCTAGAGTACAACTGACTCAGGGTTTTTATTTTATTTTATTTTATTTTATTTTTTTTTTATCCTCACCAGAGGACATTTTTCCATTTTTTGTACAGATAGAGTGGGAGGGAGAGAGAGGAAGGGAGAGAGAGGGAGAAACATCGACGTGAAGGGACACATTGAGTGGCTGCCACCCGCACGACCAACCAGGGCCGGGGACAAACTGCAACCGAAGTACATGCCCTTAGCGGGAACCGAACCCGGGTCTCTCCGGACCATAGGCCGACGCTCTAACCGCTGAGCCAAACTGGCCAGGGCTGACTCAGCGTTTTTAAAGGTCTTTAGCAAAAATATATTTTAATGTAATAAATTTTTTTAAAAACTTAAGCTTTTTTTTAAAAAAAGGTTCAATACAACCCTGGCCAGGTGGCTCAGCTGGTTGGAGCATCATCTAATACACCAAAAGGTTGTGGGTTTGATCCCTGGTCAGGGTACATACCGAAGTTTCAGGTTCAGTCCCTAGTCGGGGTACAGATGGGAGGCAACCAATGTTTCTCTCACATCAATGTCCCTTTCCCTCTCCCTCTCTCTCCCTTCATCTAAAAATTAAAAAAAAAAAAAAAAAATCAATAAAAAACATATCCTCAAGTGAGGATTTAAAAAATGAAAAGGTTCGACACAAGCTTACCTAAATTCCATTTAATTTGTAATATCTGAACATACCTAAATATCAATAATTTTACAACAGCAAAAATTTATGGGAAGTTTATATTTGTAGTCATTGTTTTTAAGAAAATTTCCTTCAATAGAAAGAGTTATAAACAAAATCCTTCAAGTGAACATAATTTTTTTCTATTTTAAATTGATGTTTTAATACTTCCTTTTTGCATTTTATGTTAGCATATTTTTACAGATATACACAAAATTTTATAAATAGTGTATGAATGAATGGTACTCTGCTAAGCTAAAAACCAGTAAGGAAACTTAGAAACATGTCACAAATTTTAGATTTGTAAATAAAATCACCTTCAAGCCAACAAAAGAGTTCTTTTAAATCAAGATTTCTGTAGCCTATCTCTTCTGTTGGTAGACCTTAATAATAGAAGATTAAACTGGAGTCAAAGAGAAATGCCTCAGCAGGATACTAAAAAGCTTACTGCTTGGTCAATGGCAGTTCCTTTTTTTTTTTTTTTTATCCTTACCAGAGGACATTTTTTCATTTTTTGTTCAGGTAAAGTGAGAGAGACAGAGAAAGAGAGTAACATCGACGTGAAATGGACATATCGAGTGGTTGCCACCCACACGACCCAACCAGGGCCAGGGACAAACCGCAACCGAGGTACGTGCCCTTAGCGGGAACCGAACCCGGGTCTCTCAGGACCGCAGGCCGACGCTCTAACCGCCGAGCCAAACCGGCCAGGGCAGTATAGCAGTTCCTTTTAAAAGCACTAACTAGAATTCACAATCCATCAGCTATGTCAAAATGTGATGGCAATGTTCAGAGGTGGCTTAGAACACCCAGGGGTTGAAAAAAAAGGTACCTGTGTGAATCAAGCCTTTCAAACAAGAAAAAAAAAGAAGAGGGAAGGAAAATCATAAAGAGGTCTTACAAACAGTGTTTCCCATATTTTAGAATAGCTTTATCTCGTATATTTTATACTCTCCCTCAAGAAGGAATCAAGTCATACTTACATTTTGCAGTTATTATGCAACTGGCCAGAGAAAATATCACACTGTCTTCTAGGATCTAGGAAACAAAATGAAGTTTAAAAATTATAAAATGCAAGGTGGCCTGTATCAGATCCTACTAAAATAACTTGGGACACAGAATTAGGGTCAAAGAAAGGGAAAAAGTACATTATTTCTTTATGATGTTTCACTTAAAAAAATCTATGTAATATAAAACCAACCTAGCCCTGGCCGGTTTGGCTCAGCGGTTAGAGAGCGTCGACCTGCGGTCTGGAGAGACCAGGGTTCAATTCCCGCTAAGGGCACATGCCTTGGTTGCAGTTTGTCCCCGGCCCTGATTGGGTCGTGTGGGTGGCGACCACTCGATGTGTCCCTTTCATGTCGATGTTTCACTCTCTGTCTCTCTCCCTCCCACTTTATCTGAACAAAATATCAAAAAATGTCCTCGGGTGAGGATTAAATAAATAAATAAATAAATAAATAAGAACCAACCTAAATATTCTATTGCCCTTTTTCATACAGTACACATTTACCTATATTATTACCGTTTCATGATACATATTTGCAAGTACACTAGCTCAGTCTTCTCTTTCCTCTTGGCCTGGTACAGCAACGAAGCCTCAGAAACAGTGAAGAGCCTGCCACTCATTGTCCTTGGAGCCTGATTCAATTTCTGCACTCACACACAACAAAAAGCCACTTCTGTCTATGAAGACTTGCATGTGTAGAATGGGGCTGAGGATCCCTACAATCAAAGGGTGTGGCAATAATGGTTTCACTCCCGTTCTTTGCCTGACCACACCACACGATACGTAAGATGGTCTGCTGGGGGGTAATAGACACACCCTGGAACAAGTCAAGCTGCCACATCTGATCTTCCGGGTAAAGCAGCTTAGTCGATAAAGGCTTATACAGGTCCTCTTATTTTATGATCAGAGAATTTTGGCTCAATATTTGCATACCCAAATATTAAATAATATACAACTGCTTCAAAGAGCTAAATAGTAGAAGTCTAAATTCTTACACTGTTTATGGATGATGTAGAGTAAAAGAAAGCCACTGAATTTTGTAGGGCATCTGGATTAAATTAATAAAAATCACACTCTATACATGTGTGACTAGCTTTTATTTGACAAATATTTAACAATTATATTACCTGTTGGTCATTAAGGTTCCCTTGTACTAAGGAGTCAATGAAAATACATTGACTAAAGTTCCTTCCTTTTCGTTCTTCTATGATTTTCTTCAAAATAAATTCCAGTTGCATAAGGGCTTAGAGAAAAAAAACAAAAAAAGATTTTAGAATATAAGCACTTGTAAAGATTAAACTTTTAAAATATTTCTGTAGAATGCTACTACTTCAGAATAAAATTTTCAAAGGCAAAAGAGTAGTAAATCGCCCTGGCCGGTTTTGCTCAGTGATTAGAGCATCAGCCTGCAGTCCAGAGACACCCGGGTTCCGTTCCCGCTAGAAGCATGTACCTTGGTTGCAGTTTGTCCCCGGCACTGGTTGGGTCATTCGGGAGCCACTCAATGTGCCCCTTTCACATTGATGTTTCTCTCTCTCTCTCTCCCTCCACTCTATCTGAACAAAAAATGAAAAAATGTCCTCAAGTGAGGATAAAAAAAAAAGAGTAGTAAATCAACAATTTTTAAAAAGCTAATTTATGTTTAAACTCATCTACTTTCTTTTCCTTCTCTTTATTTTACATATGTACCAAAAAAGTACATAAGATATATATGCACAGTCTAAGGAATAATTATAAAGCAAAGACCCATAATATCACCACCCAGGTCAAGAAATAAAACAAGGCCAGCACCATAGAGGCCTCCACACACATATATATCTCTCTCCTGATATTATCAATCTTCTTTCTAATTTCTGTCCTCTTAACTTTCTTCTCTCAAATCAAGTATCATCCATTTAGGGACAGAAACAGATGTGAAATAACCAGAAAAGTAAACTCCTGAAACCTAAAAGATATAGAATAAATAACTGATACCCAACAATCTAAAGAATTATCCAAAGTTCATTTCTCAGTCACCATCTTACTTGACCTATCAGCTTTTGATATTGTTGATCACTTACTCTCCAGGAAACACTGTTTCATTTGGCTTCTAGGATATTCCACACTGTCTGGGATACCACTCTTTCCTCCCACTCTACTACCTGCTGATTCCCAGTCTCCTCTGTTGATTCCTCCTCATCTCTAGACTTTTTTCATGATAGAATGTCCAAGGTCAGGTCTCACATTTTTGGACCTCTTCTCCTTTTCTAATTATATTCATTACACTGGTCATCACCAGCTCAAGGCTGTAAATATAATCTATGTACTTAACACTTCCAAATTTATATTTTCAGTCAGAACCTCTTTCCCCTGAACTCCAGACTCACATATCGTATAACCATCTCAGCATCTCCTCATGGATGCCTGAAGCATATTAAACATAACATAACCAAAACTGAACCCTTGACCTTTCCCCTCAAAGCTTGATCTTCCTAGTCTGCCCCATCTTATTTCCCAATAACTTTTTTCAATTACTCAGGCCTATAACCTCGGTGTCTCCTGTCTTATACTACATATCTAATGTCAGCCAATTTTGGTGGCTCTAGTTTCAAAATACAGAATTACTCTGCCTTATTCTTTTTTCCTTCTATATTTTCTGCTGCCTGTCACCTAGTCCACACCACATTATTTCTCTTGCCTGGTTCACTGTAATAGTCCCCTAAGTAGTCTTCTTATCTTATAGTAATAACCTAGTCATACAATGATCTATAAACCAGACAAAATCTGTCCCTCTCCCCAGTCTTTATGGCCTCATTTCTTTCTATTCCTCCCTGACTCACTTCACTCCAGCCATACCATTACACTTCAGATATACCAGGGAGAATCCAACCTCAAGGATTTAGCAATTACTTTTCCTCTACATGGAATTGTCTTCCTTTGGGCATGAGGATATCCACATGATCTGCATTGACTGGTTGCAAGTGTTTGGTCAAAAGTCAGCAAATCGAAGATACGGCGGGCAGGACCGGAGAGAGGGTGAGTGTGTGAAAGAATGAGAGAGTGTGTGAGAGAGTGTGAGTGGACATGAAGGTGGAAGACCAAACCCCAGCAGTGCAGAGCGATGGAACAGAAAGTTCCTGTGCTGTAGACAGCAGCAGCTAGTTACCGTGGTAAGCGGCCTTTCAGGGCGCTTCTCCCTAAGCCGCAAGGAGGTCCCACCATTTTGGAAGATCCCAGGCCTTGCCTAGGAGGGGGCAGTGGGAGTGGCTAGGGCCCAGCAACCCGAGCCCACCAGCACACCTGGAACCATCAAACCAGTGGACACACACAGACGGGTGCGCAGTAGTGGAGCTCCCAAGGCGCCAGTCACAGAAGCCAAGGACAACCAGGAGCCCAGCACCATCCCCCATAGTAGCAGCCCCATCAGAGTCTAGATATATCCCCAGCAACAGAGGCTGGGGAGCAGACATCCATCCGCAGGCAACAGAAGTACAGACCAACAGCTGAGATCCATCCTCAAAAACTACATCAAAAGCTGAGCAGAAGTTGAGCCCCACTGGGCAGCAGCACTCCCCAGCCGCCAGCGGTGGGACCTGGGGCTCCACAGAGGCCTGTGCAGTCCAGTAACTCACAAGAGCAGTGGGAAGCTGGAGCCCAAGAGTGACTGCTGCCAACCAGCTGCCCACCTGCGGATACTGTAGGGTGCGGGAGTACCAGAGAGGCCTGTGCGACCCAGCAGGGACTGTAAGATCCAGTTACCCGTGGGACCTGCGGGGTGCTGAAGAACCAGAGAGGCCTGTGCGACCCAGCAGGGATTGTGCCATCCAGTTACCCGCGGGACCTGCGGGGTGCTGAAGCATCAGACAGGCCTGTGGGACCCAGCAGCCCATAACACAGGCATAGAGTCAGGTCCCCAAAGGGACTGTGCTATCCAGTTACAGGCGGGACCTGCAGGGTACGGGGGCACCAGAAAGGCCTGTGCAACCCAGCTGTGCAAAGATAGGCACAGAGGATGTGAAAATGGAGGTGGAGTGAATAGAAGCTACACAGACGATCTCCCAGGACCAAATTGGAATTACAACTAAAATAAAGACAAATCCTCGGAAAAAAGCAACAGAAAAGCAGCAAGACAGGACCATATAACCAGGAACACTGGTAGAATCTGCAGAGGTGCGAGAGAGGGTGGCAGACTGGGAACCCACGGACAGCAGCAGTCTTAGCTGTGAGCAGCGCACTTGGGGAATAAAGACCAAGCCCACTCCACAGCACAGAGAGCTTGGACAGAGTGCTAAAATAGCCACAGCCACTCACCTGGGGGCTACGGCAGAGGGAGGGCAGACTGGACTGAAACTCTGTAGGGAAAACAGGGATTTGGAGGGCACTCAGAGTTTTTGCTGAGTTGCAGCCACAAAGGACGGTGGCCAGTGTGCTCCGTCCCAGAGTTGTGGGGAGAAGAAGCAGTCCCCTACCCCCTCGGAGATTCAGCCTTTCCCAAGTGAGGCAAAAAAAATGCAAATTGAGGATCATTAACAACCAGCATCTATCCCACCCTCTGGAAATCCTCTTATACAGAACACCAGGGCTACATTCCAAGGCAATGAATAACAGACTACTAGCCACCAGGAAAAAGCTAGAGGATAACTGAACCTTTCCTGGGTTTGCAAATCTACCCAGGAAAGTAAGACTTGACAGTGGTGTTTAACATGGGCCCACCCAGGCTCATCCAAACCCAGTAGAGGGAGCCACAATCAGCAGAATACCAACAACCACAGGGAAATTTGGCAGGCTCCAAAACCCACTGAGATAGCCAAAATGGTGAAACAAAGAAACAAATCCCAAATGAAAGAACAAGAGAACTCTATCGAAGATGAGATCAATGAAATGCAGCTAAGCAAATTATCAGAGGTAGAGTTCAGAGCCATGATCTTGAGAAAGCTCAACAGCATTAGTAAGGACACCAGTACTATGAGTAAATATATAGAAACATTGTCTTTTTCCCATCTTGCAAAATGGTGGGAGAAAAACCTGAGAAGCCGGATACTAAAGAGAACAAACCTGATAATAAGGAGAAGAAACCTGGAGCTAAGAAGGCTGATACTGGTGGCAAGGTTAAGAAGAGTAACCTCAAGGCCAAGACACCTAAAAAGGGGAAGCCCCACTGCAGCTGAAACCGTGTCTTAGTCAGAGGAATTGGCAGATATTCCCAGTCGGCTATATATTCCCGAAACGCCATGTACAAGAGGAAGTATTCCACAGCTAAATCTAGGATTGAAAAGAAAAAGGAGAAAGTTCTTGCTACTGTCACAAAACCAGTTCGTGGCGACAAGAATGGTGGTACCCGAGTGGTTAAACTTCGCAAAATGCCTAGATATTATCCTACTGAAGATGTGCCTCGAAAGCTGTTGAGCCATGGCAAGAAACCCTTCAGTCAGCATGAGAGAAAACTGCGGACTAGCATCACTCCTGGAACCATTCTGATCGTCCTCACTGAGCGCCACAGAGGCAAGAAGGTGGTTCCTGAAGCAGCTGAGCAGTGGCTTGCTACTTGTGACTGGACCTCTGTACCTTAATCAAGTTCCTTTGCATAAAACACATCAGAAATTGGTCATTGCCACTTCCACCAAAATTGATATCAGTGGTATGAAGATCCCCAAACATCACACTGATGCTTACTTTAAGAAAAAGCAGCTGTGCAAGCCCAGGCACCAGGAGCGTGAGATCTTCGACACAGAGAAAGAGAAATACGAGATTACAGAGCAGTGCAAGGTTGACCAGAAAGCCGTGGACTTGCAAATTCTGCCAAAACTCAAAGCTGTTCGTCAGCTCCAGGGCTACCTTCGCTCTGTGTTTGCTCTCACAAATGGGCTTTATCCTCATATAATGGCGTTCTAAATTTCTTACAAAGAACTTAATTAAATGACTGATCTATTATTAAAAAAAAAAAAAGATATAGAAACACTGAAAACCAACCAAGCGGAAATGAAAAATGACATAGCAGAAATTAAGAACACATTGGAAGAATTAAACAGCAGAGTAGAGGAAGCTGAGGACCAGATCAGTGAATTAGAAGACAGGGTAGAAAAAAATCAACCAATCAGAAAACCAAAAAGAAAAATAATTAAAAAACAGGAAGATAGCTTAAGAGAACTGTGGGACAACTGGAAACGTAATAACATTTACATCATAAGAGTCCCCGAAGAGGAAGAAAATGGGCAAGGGTTAGAGAATATATTTGAAGAAATAGTGACAGAAAAGTTTCCTAAC